GCGGTGTGTGTGAGAGGAGCCGGCAGCATCTATGGCTTGCCTGAGGAAGGAGCAGCCTGGTTCCTCAAAGCCAGAAGGCAAGGAGCAGATGGGAATTGTTAGTGTACAGTTTTACAGAGTAAAACAGAAAAACCTAGTACCCGGGGAGTCAAGTGGGGAGTTTGAGGTCTTATGACAGGCAGAATTACGTGTGGGACCAGGGCCCAACCTGAGGTTGGGGCGTCTTGTGGGGACTGGGTTCACCAGGATGAGGCTGGGGCTGCCTAGAGGGAAAGGGGAATGCCTTCCAATTGGAGACAGGCTGCTTGGGCCACAGTGGGGCTGGGGTTGTGTGCTGGCGCTCTGTGTCCTCCTGGGGTCAGTGTCAGAGCCAGGGCCCATGTCTAGCTTCTCCCTGATTGCCTGCAGTGGGACCAGCACTGAGTCATGCCTGCCACAGTGACAGCCACGGGGAGGTGCTACACAGTCATGATGGGTGAATGAGGTGTGGTATGGATGGACCCAGTGAAGAAGGAGCCTGCCCTGTCCAGTTTTGGTGAACAGTGGCCTGCGAGCTGATTCCACAGGAGGAACACTGCAGGCCCGTGGGTATGTGCAGATGAGCAACCCGAGCAGCCAATTGTGTCCACCCTCCCAGCAGTTAGGAGCCCACTTTTATGGCTGGGGGCCAGAGCAGTTTAAGATGTGTATGTGGGCCTTGGACCAGAGGATCCCTTGGATAACATGTTGGCCAGTTCATGGTCAGTGCAACCTTCATACACACTCAGACATGTGTGGGTGCCAGGTCAGAGGAGCTTTGGGTGAAAGGGGTTCACTTCAGGAAAATCCAGGTCTGGCGCAGTGCTCTTGCTCCCATAAGAACAGATGGTCCAGTCCCACAAAGACAATTACACTTGTGTTTTCTCGTGTGGAAGATGGGGGAAGCAAACAAACAAATCCCATAAAACAAGGTCATGAAAGTAAAAGAGGGGCTGAGGACCGGGGTGGTGAAAGGTGAAGGGAGAAGAGGAAGGTGAGGCAGGGTGAGGAAGAGAAGCCGGGCAAACATGACCCAGGTGCATTGTACGCGTGCTCGGGAATTACCACGGGGAAACCCCTCACTTTGTGCAGTTAACACTGCCAGGAGCAATAAGACAACAATGCAGATTCTAGGTCACGTCTTAGGAAAGGGAACGAAGAGTCCACGGCTGGAGCTCTGCAGTGTGTATGCGTAAGCACACAGTGAGTTCAGTCTTTTTCCTTGGAGAACTTCATCCCGGTAGCTTTGCCTCTTCACGTAACGAAATCTCTGGGTGTGGGAGAAACCTATTTTGCCCTCAGAATAGAGATGTGCATCGTAAACGTCCCTCAGCCTACACCGCAGGCACCGTGAATGTCGTGTTGCTGTGGGGGGGTGAAGTTTCAGTTCTGGGAACAGATATTTCATGCCTGGTTAATAACGGAAAAGGTAGCTTGCCTCAGGCAGTTTTCTTGAAAACGCTCATGGCTCTGCATGCAAAAGATCTTGGTCCTGTAAAGCGAACACACTCATCCTCGAAGAAGAAAAACACAAGCCGACATGGGGTAGACTGTGATGTCTGTCCTAGTCCAGGAAGGCAACATGTCAGAGGTCAGGCAGGCCTCCATTCACGTGCTGGCGTGAACCGCCTGCAAGGTGTGTTGAACCCCCCTGCCGCGCCCCTTTATGCCCACTAATGGAGCTACAATGAGCAATTTAACTGGCGGATTCCGACAGATTGGCCAAGTTGCCCTCAAAGGGAAGCTGTCTTCTGCAGGACTGTTTATGGAGGACACCAGCATCCTGGCAGCATGTGTCCAAGGGAATGGTAAAAGCAGGGCCTCTTCCTTTGCACACGTCTGTGTGGACTGTCCAGGGCCCCGTATGTTCCAGTGAGACTTTAAAACTGCTCTGACGTGCAGGCTTCCCCTCCTCCGCTCAGTCCTTGCTCAGCTGGTCTGCAGCTCTGTGTTCAGGGCTGAACGCTGTGCCCCCGAGTTCACACACTGAAGCCCTGAGTCCCTACAACCAGTATCAGAGGTGAGGCCCCTGGGAGACAACTAGGGCTCCAAGCGATCATGAGGGAGGGGGCCCTAGGGGGATTAGAAACCTGATAACAAGACATTGGTGTGTCCTCCTCCACCTGGTGAATACATCTGCAGATCAGAAGAGGACCTCACAGAAGCCAGCCCTGCTGCACACTGAGCTCAGACTGCCTGCTCCAGGAACCCGAGCAGATAAACTTTTGTCATCCATCTCTGGTCATCTGAGAAGGCGGCCAGAGCCAACACAGACCCCAGGGGAGGGAATGTCCCCAGGAGCATTTCAGAGGCGTGGAAAGCTTATTCAGGTGTGGATTCCTTTAAGAAAAGAAATATATGTGGCTTGTGTGTCAGAGTCTGATGACACAGCTGGAGTTTCAGATACTGGAAACAGCATCCGGCACTGACCAGCAGAGCAGTCCCCTGACCTGGAGAGTGGCTGAAGGTGTGGGGGCTTCGGGAAAGGACAGTGACCATGGACTGAACTGGCAGCCAGTGGCTGGTGTGTGCTGCTGTCAGCTGGCCAGTGGGAAGGAGCTGCTGTCTAATGAGTCCTGGGGTCTCTCTTGCAGCACCTCTCAAGGTTGGGTAATGATATAAGCAGGGACAAGTGGCTTTGAAGTCACCCGTGGATGTGGCAACATCAGGGACCCATACTGACTGCTTTTCGGACACCACACACATGCTGTGAACTAGATGGAAAAGAGAGCTGGTGAGTGAATGTCTTTGTCTTATGCAGGTGTGATGCCAAAACATCAATGCAAGATAAGCATTTTGAGACAGAAGTAAGAAAATTGGAATTAAGCTTTCATGAAATGGACTTGAAGTTTTCAGGCCACTACACCTCACTCTAGGGATGGCTCTGTTACCCTGAGAGAAGATTAACTTGTGTGTTGAGATACGCACAGACTCAGCAAAATATGGGGGATTTTAGCACTTCACATCACACTTGTTCTGCAGAAGGTTGCTAAACAGATTTAATTTTGATTTTATTTAACAACTTAATTGGATGTGTGCATACACACAGAGAGACATTTTCTCAAGAACAAAATGCTTTACTTTCTTAGATCTCAGCCAAGTGCCGATCCATGGCACAGAGTCACGGCCTGGCTGCCTAACTGTCCTGTCTGAGGAGCAGGGTACCTGCTCAGGGGCAGTGCCCCCTTGGGTTCCTTGAGTCTCACCAGTTCCTGTCCCATGCATTAATCTGCATTCAGCTCTCAGGACCCAAGGTATCCAGTAGTCAGCCACCGCTGGAAGTGGTGACGGCCATGGTGACTGACTGTCCCCTGCTTTCCCCCTCACCCTTTTGGGGTCCAGAGATGAAGTGCACTGGGGACAGGTTTGAAGGACGTGCCACTCACTGCAAAGGGAGAATGCATTTACATCAAGCAAATTTGGAATCCATCCTGGATTCCATTTGCCCAAGGGGAGATGGGTGCTGCCTCTTCTGATCAGCAGGGAAGTGAATGCAGTGTCCATTTTCTCCCTAGGATCTTGAGCAAGGAGGGAGGAAGGACCCAGCTGAGTCTTTGGACTGCTCACCTTCAGTGCAGTCCTTGTCTGCTCCGAGGCCTGCCTCTTTTTCCTAGTGTCTGTGCTACTAGACAGTTTGGACATTGGGGACAAGCACCTGACAAGGGCAAACAAAACCAGGTGGTATTTCCTTCTCTCTGCCCAGTGTGTGCACTTCCATCTGAGCAACAGGTGGAGGCTGGCTGCAGAGGCAGGAAGAGGGTTCAGCCTGACTCAGCCTCACTCTTGGGGTGGAGCCTTGGGAAGGGAGAAGGGAATAAGGTAACACTGCAGGACCACAGTCACACAGCATGAGCAACACAGACCTGACAGGTGGTGTCCCCTCGCCTTTCCACATACAGTCACTAGTGACAGCAGTGAAGAAGACATTTAAGTGTTTGGGAGACTGGGGCTTCAGCAGTTCCTCTGTGAGGCCTAGGACAAAGGAAGAGCCAATGAGGCCAAGTCCAGTGACAGGCTAGGGACAGGTCAGGATAGTCAAGGGGTTGGTCTGGGGCCAGGGGGAGACAATGAACAATAGAGCTGGACGGGCAGCAATGCCAGGTAGCAATGCCTGTGAAGGACACAGAAAGGCATTGGTGTCCCTGCTGAAGGCCAGGGGACCTTCAAATACCTTTAATCTGGGCTCTGACCCCTCCCCAAACTCCATCAAGAATTTTAGGGATCACTGCACTGCAATTTCCAAGCAAGAAATGATAGTCTTGGGGTGACTGGAGGAAGAAGGAGGCAGGGACAGAGGAAGTATAGATCTTAAGTGGGGACTGAATGCCTTGATGCCAGGCCACAGGCAGAGATGAGGGCTCAAGGTGACGGCCTGGGTGAGCGTCAGAAGATGGAAGTGTGGGGTAATGCACACAAGGTCACAGTCCATTCTGATAAACGCATCTTCATAGCTGCGAGTACACTTCTAGTGCCTTAATCAAACTTACCCGAACAGCAGATATATTGTTCACAAAAGGCTGGCTTTAGGTTGTACAAGTAGTGAAGTGTGTGGGAATGTATGTGAAATGCCTAAAACCAAACCTGTGAGAGTCATGTGAAAGCCCCGCATTTAAATTTCCTGAGAACTAGAATGCCACATAGACTTTGAGATTAATGTTTATGGTTGGTTGTGTCACTAAGTGTCCAGTTGGCACATGTTTTGCCAATGGAAATTGGCTATTCGTCGCAGTGGGTTAAGTCACAGTCCTGTCTTGAGGGTAAGCAAGTTTGTGAAACCCCTACACTTAGGTAGCGGAAACGCAGGAGCTGTGACCTTTGGAGGTGTAGGGTCATCATCCACTACCACAGATCAGTCATGAAAGCCTCGGTGTCCCAGAGGACACTGAGTTCTGGGAGGAGGGAGAGGCATGCAGAGCTGTTGTTCCTCACTTCCACGTCTGTCCTTCTGTGATGGTGAAGTGAGGGTCCTATTGTTTTCACAGGTGCATCTTTTGAGAAATGCTGGTGATGAAGTCACCATCACAGTGGACTATCTCAGGGAAGCGCCCTCATTTCTGAAGCTCCCGTTAGGTAAGTGGGAAGGGGGGAGACCCGAGATGCTGGGGAACTGATGGGTACAAGTCCTTTCCTGAGCACACAACAGAGAGAAGAGGGGCAGGGCAGCACAGTGTACTCCTAACGCATCCTACATTTCAGCACATCCAAGACCAAAACGGAGTGTAATCAGACTGCTGCCATCAGTCAGTTAGGTCTGTTTCTCTCTTCACGTGAACCCAGTGCAGCTGCTAATTACACACGTGCACACACAGAGCTTTGTATCTAAAATATCTAGCTTGGCATGAGAATTTTTGGGTGGTACTGGGGTTTTGAACTCAGCCTCATGCTTGCTAGGCAGGTGCTTTACCAAATGAGCCATATACACCACCAGTCCTTTTATGCTTTAGTTATTTTTCAGATGAGGTTTCATGATTTTTGTTCAGGCTGGTCTTGGACTGCTGTCTCCTACCCACACTTCCCATGTAGCTGATAGGACAGGTGCACCCCACCACATCTGGCTTATTGGTTGAGATGGAGCCTTTCTGACTTTTTTGCCTGTGCTGTCATCGAGCTGTAATCCTCCTCACCTCACCTCCCAAGTACTTTCTTACACCATGTGCCCATAGGGGTCAGAGCCCTGAATGCCCACGAGGCCAGCAGCTGGCATCTCTGAGGATGGGAGTGTGGTAGAACAGGGAGTCAGGCTCTGCGATGGGCTCCTGATGACATGGGTTGTGGAAAGTGCTGAATCCTCCGATGTTGAGTGTGGATGGACAAGAGGCTGGGTCCCAGGCAGGGAAGGGAAGGGCCCTGGCTGGTAACCCAGGTCACAGCCATCATCAGCCTCCCTGAAAGAGACCTGGCATTGAGGTATGTGCCTGTCCTGCACTTAGGAGTTCTGAAGTCCCAGCGCTGTCACATGTCTGATTGGTGAGCTACAGTCTGACACAAAGCCCCTTGCTTCCTTTCAGGGTCCCCAGGGCCGTCCAGCAGCCCCAGCAGCAGGGCCTCCTCACCTCTCTTTGACAGCGGTCTGCACCTAAATGGACACTGCAGCCACACGGTAAGCACGCATGTCCTGTGTCCTCACAACACAGTAAGCAGGTATATCCTGTGCCATTACAGGAGACATCCTGATCCCCGGAAGTCCAGTGTCCAGGAAGAGGCCATGACTATTCTGGAGAAAGTGCTTGAAGCAGACTTTAGAATCTCTCTGTTGACATTTATTCCTGTGTGCAATCCTTGTCACTGCCTGAAAAGATACTTAAAAGTTTTGACAGTTCATAATTGCCCAGTGAGCAGACATGGTTTCTAATTTTGAGGTAGAATCGGTGTCCTCTGGTTTCCATACAGCCTGGCCTGTGGGAAGTGCTGCAGGTCACTTTCAGCTTGCTCCTAAGATTACAGAGCACTAGGAAGCAGGAGTGCTATGTATTGGTTTATTCTCTAGTCTCCAGGGGATAGCAGAATTGAGCAAAAGAAGACTGGAGCTGCAGCTCACTGTGGACACTGGGCTGCAGCTCACTGTGGACACTGGGCTGCAGCCTGGCCATCCTGCAGGGAGCCTGGCTCAGCCTCTTGCTGTGACACCTGTGTCCCTCAGGTGGATGCACTCTTTATGCACAGAGGCCTTAGTGCAAAGGAGGATTTCAGCATCTATAGTTTGAAAGAGTGCATTATCATAATTCATATCCAGTCACACTGAGTTCAGTAGAACTCAGGGGGAAAAGAGCCATGCTTGTTCAATGTAACTTTAAGTTACCTTTTCGGTCTAACCATTCTTGATAATTAAAATTGTATTTAGCATTTTGTGGGTTACGAAGCAACTTAGGGAAAATCCATCAGCAATTAGAGTCTGGACACACGTTTTGGTCTGTGTCTTCCCATCTCCCAGTCTCAGGGAGACTCATTGACAAGCAGCATCCTGAATTTCATGTTTATCATTTCCTTGATTAAAAAATGGTTTTCAGCCATGCACAGTGGCCACCCATAGTCGTACCTACTCAAGAGACTGAGGCAGGAGACTCTCTTGAGCCCAGGAGTTTCAAGCCAGCCTGGGCAGCATAGTGAGACATTATCTCTTGAAAAAAAAAGTTTTATTTGTATGTTTACATGTCTCAAAATACATCATTTTCCTGTGAACCCTACAGAGCGTTCTCATAGTCTTCTGAGGCGTTTTGTGCTGAGATAACCCATTGTTTGAGTGCACTACAAGTTGTTTACCCATCGTCACTGTCAGCTGCCCTGGCTTTTACTTTACCTATGTTTCCTTCTCCAGTTTTCCAGTGGACCCAGGGTTGCCTGGAAAAGAAGTGTAAAGGAAGAGACTCTTGACTGAACACGCAGAGGCAGAATTTCTGGTTCTAGGCCACACCAGTGTTTGCTTTCATAATTAGGGGAAATCTTACTGTATAGTTCATATTCCTACAGTGCTGGGGTCCAGCTGAGGGTGAGGCAATGTTGGGAGAGGAAACAGTTGATAATTCTAGAGTGCCCAGAGTGGAATAACTGTATTAGCTAATTTTGTGTGTCAACTCAGCTAGTGCCTGAAGTCCACAGGTATTGTCAAATGTTACTCTGCGTGTCTCTGAACTATTTCTAAATGAGGTTGTTTATTTATTTACTTTTTGGTGCTGGGGATTGAGCCCAGGGCCTTTCACATGCTAAGCAGGCCCTCTACCCCTGATCCATATCCTCAGCGCAAGGTTAAGGTTCAAGTCAGTAGACTTTAAGCAAGGTGGGATTGCTGTTTTTATTTTGGGTTTTGTTTGCGATCACAGTTTTGGAGGTTTCAGTACATGGTTGGGGAGACCCATTGCTTTGGGGCCATGGCAACCAGGTAGCAAAGAGAGAGAGGAGAGCCAGGATCCCAATATCCCCTTCAAGGTCACAACACATGGCAGGAAAAGCTTCCAATTACGCCCACTCCTTTTTTTTGTGTTCTTTTTGTTTGTTTGTCTTTTGGTGATACTGGGGTTTGAATCCAGGGCTTCACACTTGCCAAGGGTACACTGTACCACTTGAGCCACTCCGCCAGCTTAGCCTTACTCCAACGGTTGCACCACGTCCCATAGTGCCAAGCTGAGGACCAGCCTCTAAGACATGGACCATCTGGGGACATTCCAGATCTAAACAATAGCAGATGGGCGAATAAAAAGCTCTCATTGTTAACATACTTCAGAAATTAAGTTAGGCTGCATAATAAAATGTCAAAGGCACCCACTTAGCTAGTAAAATGAAAAAGAGCAAATTGATAAACAAAAAAAGTTGTAGTTAAAGATGCATGAAGAATGTGCCTGAAAATAAGACAATGAAAGAGCCAAAGTCCAAAGGTAGACATAAATCCAAATACAGTAGTAATAAAATAAAAGCAAGTAGACCAAATTTTCTTGCTAAGAGGCATAGCTCTGTTAGATATAGCACTAACAAAACTAAGGAATTTGGCTTTTACTGTTTGAAAGAAAGATGCCAGAAAAATTTTAACAAAGAAGAGTGAAAGTAACGGGTTGTATAAAGAATATTTAAAATGCTCACCCACAATATCAGAAAGTACACTTCAAGGCAAAGTTCACTGTATAATTCAGGATATTGGTTTATACATTGTTAAGGTAGCATATGCAAGGGGAAAAGATGCCAGGAAAATGCTGAAATAAATAACAGAATCATCTTAAAATTTAAAGAGGTTATTTGGCAGAAGAAAGCAAATAGCTACCTTCCCTTCATACTGGAGGACTTAGACAGAAATGAAATCGTTACATGCAAAAAGGAGCTGTGTAAAAAGTAAAACACTGCCAGTAGCTCTTGGGGAACTTCAGTGACGTGTGGAGTGGGCATGGCTGTGCGCCAGCTGACCATTGAGTCAGAGAGGCAGAGGGAGTCGGGAACGTGGTGTCTGCACCAGGTTCTGTCCTGTGGCTTTTTGTCTCCGGGTGACTTGGACAGACTTCTCTGAGAGCAGGACAGTGTGTTTCTGGAGAGGGATCTGGCAGCCGGTGCCGGGATGGATCCTCCTGCCCTTGGTGGAGAATTCTACACCCAGGAGCTTACTAGAAGTGTTCCCCACACACTGTGCTGGAGGAAAGGTGGCTTCAGCCCGCCCTTCCAGAATAGGAAATGATCTGTGTCTGAGGATCCATTCATGGCAGGAGGTGTTTCAATGTTCTGAATGGACTTTTCCAACAAGTCTTAATGACTGGAAAACTCTTACATGATGTTAATTTTAAAACTGTAAATACCAGAGGAGCAAAATGAGTTATCAGTTATCAGTTATGAAGGAACACAAAAGTAAGCATAAAGCACCTTCCAGAGCCTGGCTGTTCTGGTGCTGTACTGCACATATCTGTGGTGTGAATAACGACAGTAGCTAGAGTCTTCACAGCAGTTCTTGTACAGCAGGGATCCTCCTAAAGGTTGTGCATTTTTTATTATTATGCTCATCTTTTTAATGGAGAGGAACCCGAGGCACAAGAAGTAAATTTGTCTACTAAGAAAACATGTTAGTACATGCCAGGGAACAGTTAGGAAATGTTAAAACTTGCCTCGGAGACGTGGCTCGCACATGCTGGTACAGACCAAGGAGACACGGCTAGCACGTGCTTGAGTCAGAATTTGAACCCTGCACACACAGTTAACACTCACATTTCCTTTGTTAAATATGTACGAGCCCTTCTCACCTAAAGACAATACTATGCTCCCATCATCTCCGTGAAACAAGTGTTCTACGAGTGAAACAAGCTGTTACAACCCCACGCAGATGGTAGCTACAGTGTCCATGGAAAAGAGAGACTGTGCATTAGGCCTTAAGAACATGTGTCTAGTGTACCCCTCGTGTGTTACAGCCTGACTCAAGGTTGACTGTGTGCCGGTGGATGTTCTGGTCATTGGGTGCTGTAAGTCGATGCCCACACCTAACCCCAGAACTGTGATCGGTGACCTTGTGGGTGTTGAGGTTCCAAGCCTCACAATTATGTATCCGTTTCTACTCATTTCTCAACCTAAGGCTTCTTGCGTTTATGATTTATGACAAGTTCATTGGTAAATTTGCCAATTTAATTTCAGAAAACTCAAAGCATCCTCCAGTGGTCAATCATGAGAGGCTCCTCCTCCCAAACTGGGATTGGGTTCTGTGTGATGATTGACACCAGGTGAGTTTGACCCTCCTTGTTGGGAAGACCCAAAGTGCTGAAGTCTGGAAGCTATTGGAAGGATGAGTTGTGTGGGCTCCCTTCAGTGTCTTTGAGTCCCAGGCACTGACGTATCTGATACTCTCACCTGTGTCCTGTAGGCTGAAGGGCGTGTGTCAGGATGAGTTGGTGTACACATAAGTGGCCCCTTTGCCACCTGTGCTCTCAGTTCTTGTCTGTCTGGGGGCTCTAGTGAGGCAGGTGAGATGAAGGGAGTTAGTGTGGAGGGACATGGTCACACGTTATTGGTCAGCCTGCTGCATGCTGAGACTGCGCTGGACACTGTATGTAGGGGACGGGGCACAACACCAAGTCCAGTTTTTTGGGGGGCTGTCCCAAGGGGCTGGTGTTAGAGGACAATGCCTGGGTGGTGAGCGGGGGAGTCAGCATCACCAGGTGAAGATGGAAAGGGCTCGCCACAGAGTGGGGCTGTCGGGGTAGAGAAGGGGAGAGGGGCAGAAAGAAAGGGCCCTGGGCGAGTGAAGAAAGTAATGAACTTGAAGTTTGTTCTTCAGTCTGTCACCTGATGTGTAGTATTCCACCACAATTACAGTGCTTTTCCAGATCTAAAGTTTAATAAAACTTACTCTGTCTAGATTTCTACTAAAATTGCATTTTAATAATAACACAGTATCCCAATTACACACATAGTGTTATAGGAGCCACAGCTAAAATTAGAATGACTGCATTGAAAATATGGAAGATAAATTAGTATTCTTACATCAACTGTAACTTTTTCAATACTTGTGTTTCTTCTGTCTCTTATACATTCATTTTTATATCAAAAGCATGAAATTACTTCAGCAAGACATGTATGTATAAAGAAGCCAGCATTCATTAGCTCTTTTAAAATGACCTTGGTGTTTCATTAAGAGTGAGG